TCGATGCTCAAGAAGTACTTTTGTTTAATGCAGGGAAACATGCTACTCTCCCATGTCAAAAAAACATAACATAGCACTGTTTGCCTAAAGAGAGATCTTGTGAATTACAAAAGTAAGCAAGAATATTTCTAGAGCCAGTGAGTTGCTGGCTGTAGAAGAATGGAGTAAGAGGGTATGTCTCTAACCAGATTTTTCTTATGTGTAAAATATTAGCCCAATTTATCTACCTTAGTACTCTTTTCTTCTGATTTTGTGTTTTTAAATCTCATTCAGAACTAGTGAGCAAAACTTTGCCTTTACTGGTCAGAACTGCACTAGAATAGTACTTAGTGGGGTCAAATCAGGAAATAAAGGAAAGAGGTAACATTAGGATTTTAAAGGCTCTAAGTTGATTGTCTTTGTTGAAGTATATGAACTAAAAGGGAAACAGATGAAGACAAAATTTTATATTATCAAAATACTTTCTCATCATTACTTTGTTCTGTCTGGTGCTTAAAATCATGTTTTAGAGTAATCTACATCATTTTTTAACTTAAAAAATCATCAGTTACCAAAAATATTTTTAAATATATTGAGTTCTTTCATTTCTTAAGAAGCCTATAGGTGTGATGAATGTGTCAAAACCTGTACTTGTTTATTTTATTTTTATTTTTAATTTTTTTAAAGATTTTATTTATTTGACAGAGAGAGACACAGCAAGAGAGGGAACACAAGCGGGGAGAGTGGGAGAGGGAGAAGCAGGCTTCCCGCGGAGCAGGGAGCCCGATGTGGGGCTCAATCCCAGGACCCTGGGATCATGAACTGAGCCGAAGGCAGCCACCTAACGAGTGAGCCACCCAGGCGCCTCTGTACTTTTTTATTTTAAGCAGCTTTTTATTATATGTCCCAGGTGACTTTTCTGTAGGTCACTTTCAGGGTTAGTGAGGTTTCATGCTCATTTTTACATTTTGGGGGTCACTTACAGTATACAATCCCCATATATTCTTGCTTCTCAAATGATTCAGAATACTTCTGCTAGATATTTTGATAATCCTGGCTTCTTGATGGTAGCTGACTGGTAGCTGAAATTTCTTCTACCTTTTTCATTATCTAAGTGGGTAACAGTAAGCCGCATTAATCTTTTAATACCAGCTGCTGGTATGTTATATCTCAATTTTATTGGCTACCTTGGCACCTGTAATATGTTTTTTAAGTTGGCAGTGGCATCACAATGTTATATAGCATTGGTATGGAATTTTCTATATTTGAATCTTGAATAGGTTGAGAAAGCAGCTTAACCTAGTAGATTCAAGATGTTACACGATTCACAGTTGCTGGTTTGCTATTACGACATTATATAGCTCATTTGTTCAGCTAGTATTTCTATTTGTAAGTAGGAATTCCTATTTGTAGAGTAGTGAATGTGAATATGTTTCCATGGGTAGGATTAACAAGAGTATTACTTATTTTTAAGGGTAACAAAGGATAAAAGTAGGTTCACTGTAGATCTTGGTGATTATTTTTCAAGAGAATTCTTTGCTTCCTTTTAACCCTAAGCTTTATTATCTTTGGTGATTGCCTCTGAATTCAAAAGTGACCTTGGGTCAGCAAACTTAATTCAGAGAGCTTTCAGTCTAGATACTACATCTGATTTCAGCTGCTGTGAATATAGGATGGTAAGTTGTACAGATATTATCCCCATTTGCTAGACAAGGAATCTGAAATCATCTTTCCAAGATGCCTGTGCTAAATTGGAACAGAAGAGTCTTCTAATATAATCAGTGCATGTGTGTCTTATTAATATGTAGTTTTACTGCCTGAGGACCAAACTACATACCCCTAAAATATATATGTTTATAGAAGAAGCATTTCTCCTAATCATATTCTATATTTTCTTTAGCCATTTTCCTGTAATATTTGAATTGTCTTTACATGCAAAGGCCAAATATATATTAAGTGTCTAATTTTACCAAAGAACATGCTTTCAGATAATTTTCTGTCAATAGTGAATGTTCTACAAACTTAATGTAAAGTATTTTAGGTTGTTCTTCACATTATGTTTATAAATAGCATCTTTAAAGTTTGCTTTTCTACAGTTTTACATGTTTATTGTTGAACATTAAAAACAAACAAAAAACAAAATCTCCAGTGTTTCTACTACCAGAGAACTTTTAGAGTACGTCATTCATTTTTCTTAAAACAGTTCCTATTTTCTAAAGCCTTAGTTTGAAATACCATACCAGCTTGCTCAATTAAAGCAGCCTTTTGCTTCAGCAGCATTATTTTCTTGTTCTCATTAGAATTATTATATGAAGACAAAGACCAGTTGGGAAAACTTAGCTGGATTTGAAAAATAAGAAGATTGAGGAAGATTGTGACCTTTTAGTCAGTACTTAGAAACTAACCTTTTTAAATACATGGATTTAACTTTTAGGGTCAGCCCTGCTGACACTTCTTTGGTGTAGAAAGTTAGCCCCAGAGGTAGAGATAGACTCCTCCAAATCAGGAGTTTTTAATAATGCAGTTGAGTAATTGATGAGAATTATCCCATCACAACTCCAATATTTAAAGACTTTTTAGTGGTAACCATTTGATGCATTTCATTTCAATCTATGAGAAGTTACATGCATTCCTGTGATTTATCAAATTATTATCATTAATTCTGTTTTAATCTGTCTTGTCACTGAGACTATAGATGATTAAACTTTATATACTATATTCTAACTTTTCTAGTCCCTCTCCCTCATTTTCCATTCCCTGTGTTTTATGTGTTTAGAGACTTACAGTGCCACTTGGGCAGTATATTAGTGCAGCTGCTCCATGTGGTTACTTAGACAAGGTGGGAAGAGAAAATGAGATGTTTTCTCCATATCACCTTTTAGGAGTATTTTGTTACATCTTACATATATTTTCCACACATTGCTGAAATTTTTATTTGCAAAAAATTTACACTTATGAAGATTCTAAAATACTGCTAGGATACTACATAGTATTACATATAATAGCGGTATTGAGATTTCTTCTGAAATTAATTAGAAATCTTGTCTTTTATATGGATCTGATATATCACTTTTCATTTTATGTTTCATATGTACAAGACAATTTGTTCTTCTGTTATCAGGCTAAACCAATCCAAATCCTTAACTCTTATACTTGTTGAGGTTGTTAGAGTACTATGATAATAGAATACCTGCCAAACTAAGCATGTGAATCCATGCCCATTCATGGATTCATTGTTAAATACTGCGTTGATTAATGTGTTAGGGAACAAGTCTGCACAAAAGATCTAACCTTTTAGAACATTTGGCCCTTCTCTTTAGCCAGTAACTTCCTTTACCTGAAACACAGCAGAAGATATGACAACAGCCTCAATTTTTCCTTACCTACATATGGAGGCCATGGAAGTAAGTGACCGCGCTATCTGACTATTTCTTGTTGTTTTCTTGTGGGAGCTAAATTGCTACTACCCAACTCTGACCCTGCAATGGACCAGCTCCTGTAGGCAAATCAGAAAAAAGCCAGGATGGTGAGAGGCTAATCTAATAGAACCTTAAGAGGCAATTCAAAATCAAAGTTCAAAGAACCTGCCTTTATTAATGTGTTTTTGTTACTATTTTTATGTTTCTCAGGGAGTGAAGCCAGCCAGTTTTGACAAAGTAGCAATTCCTGAAGTGAAGGAAATTATTGAAGGATGCATACGGCAAAACAAAGATGAAAGGTAAGTTGCCACTTTTGACTTAGGTGTTGCTTAAAAACGTAAAATGTAATGATATGCTCTAAATACAATACTCAATCTGAAGTGTATTCAGTACTTCACTTGTGTCTCTCTCTATTTATGTCATGTAATATCTTTAAAAGTAGAGTTCTGGGAGTGCCTGGCTAGCTCAGTCAGTAGAGCATGCTACTCTTGATCTTGGGGTGGTGAATTCAAGCCCCCATGTTGGGTGTAGAGATTACTTAAAAAATAAAATAAATTTTTAAAAAAAATCTTAAAGAGTTTTGTCCATTTAAGATAGTATTGAGATTTGATAGAGTGAAATATTGTAAAAATATGGTATGGTAGAGTTCAAGTGAACCAGAACCACCTTAAACATAGTGCTGTATTCAGTGAGAACTACTTCTAAAACATAAACTACTTACAAAGCATCAACATGATTTATAAAATTCAGTAGGGTTCAGTCTCTCTCTGACCAACAGATCTGTACCTAATTCTTTACTCGTTGAATTCTAAAAGGTGAAATAAAATCTTGGCTCTTTAAAATAAGCTCAGCTACACATCTTGATTTGCTGTCATTGTGCCATAATTTTGAAGAGCAAAACATCAGCATTCCTTTCAGTAAAAAGAGACAACTTTGCCCAAAGCTTAGGAGGAGATTTGGCTTAGTCATTTGTACTAATAGGACTTTTCTCAGAGGAGTGGCAAGTATCTGATCTGTCATATAGCTGATTCATCACCCGTTAGGCATGGCAAAGATCCAGTGTCTGTTTTTGAAAAATAATCTACCCACACCATCCCCCCTCACCCTCCAAAAAAGAAAAAGTAGACCAGCCAGTATAAATATAAATTGTAAGTTGAGCATAATCTACCTCCTGAAGAATGTGAGCAATCAGGTATATCAACCAAATTAAAGAATTCCGTATCTTCACTTCTCCGGTCTCCTACTCTTTTCATAACTTTGTTATTTATCTTTAAGGCTGTTTAGTAGAAATTTAGTTTGGGTTTCTAATTTTATATACAGTGTTTGGAAAGGAGAGTCCCTTATCTAAGAACTTTTTTTACTATAAACAAAGGAGTATTTGTTTCCAGTCTTAGAACATATTACTCTGTTTCTTTTTGGATGGTACAGTTTACTAGATTACTGGTATTTTGAAACCATTTATCTAAAGAAGATTATTCCACATTCAGACTTCTTGCCTAGTACACAAATTGTTGAACAAGGAATTGAGAGAATTTATTGTGGTAAATAAAGTTATAGTAGAAGGTAAAGAACTAGAAATCAAAAAACTTATTTTCAAATTTTGATTCAACCATTTGAGGCTTATAACCATGAGCAAGATTTTCACCCTCTCTGAGCCTTTGTTTCCTAATAATCAGGAAATAATATCTCATTGGATGTTGGTCAAGGATCAGATGGGATCATAAATAAGAGGAGTATTTGTTAACTATAAATTCTACATAAATTATGTGGTATTTTGAAGCTATGACATTCTGTATATTACTTGCCATTGTTAGTACATTGTTAACTAATATGAGATTAGATCACTTAGATTAAAAAGTATCGCTTTTAGCTCTTATTTATAAATGATGTTGTATAACTTGAGAGTAAAACTATAATCACTGTTCACATGGAGCAATGTAGAAATGAGTTATAAACTTGGTTTTTTTTACAGTCTTTATTATTCCAAGCATAACAGTTATCAGCCACACTTGAAAATTATGTTTTCAATCTAATGTCATTTTGTTTTGTTTTTGTTTCATTTCCCTCTCTTTGGAAGATATTCTATCAAAGACCTTTTGAACCATGCCTTCTTCCAGGAGGAAACAGGGGTACGGGTAGAATTGGCAGAAGAAGATGATGGAGAAAAGATAGCCATTAAATTATGGCTACGTATTGAAGATATTAAGAAATTAAAGGGAAAATACAAAGACAATGAAGCTATTGAGTTTTCCTTTGACTTGGAAAGAGATGTGCCAGAAGATGTTGCTCAAGAAATGGTAAATTAACATGGATGGAACTAAAGGGTATTATGCTAAGCAAAATAAGTCAGAGAAGGACAAATATCACAAAGATTTCACTCTTATGTGGAATTTAAGAAACAAAACTGATGAACATAGGGAAAGGGAAGGAAAAATAAGATGGAAACAGAGGGAGACAAACCATAAGAGACTCAATTATGGAAAACAAACAGGGTTGCTGGAGGGGAGGTGGGTGGAGGGATGGGGTAACCGGGTGATGGGCATTAAGGAGGGCATTTGTTGGAATGAGCAGTGGGTGTTATATGCCACTGATGAATCTCTGAATTCTACCTCTGAAACTAATAATACACTATATGTTAATTAAGTTGAATTTAAATTTAAAAAATGGTAAATTAGCATTGATCCATCATTTAAAAATTTATGTATATTTATAAACATATTGTTGAGCAAAAAAGTTTATGAAGCAGTGTGGATGGCAGATCTCATTGATAGAAAATTGTGTTGATTAATGGCCCTAAAAGTTATTTGTAATTGAGGAAAAGATATGTACATGTAGATATGTAAGGATGGATAGATGGATGGCTGGGTAGATCTAGAATGCATCCTGAAGTAATGTGAAAGTCTATGAGGTTGAATGACTCCTAATTTATATAAACCTATTGAGTTAGAATGACAAGTTATATTTTCTAAATATCGATACATTTGATGAGTCATTTGGATACACTCTATAAATACATAATGAATTGTTTTTACTTTGAGGGAGTTTTCAAGATCAGTTATTAGTAGGCAGCCTTTGATGAATCACTTTATGAAGTATATCCAAAAGGTGACTTTTCAGAAAAGAAAGACTTCACCAATTTTATGCTTGCGATAGTGCTTAAAATAGCCAGTTAATATGCAGAGATACTCATAGAATATCTCTACTAGAATTTCTAAGAACTATTCAGTAGAAGTTGCCTCTGAGAAGGGGTTGGGTATGAAAGAGATACTTATTTTAATTGGTAGTTTTTTATACCTTTAGAGATTTGTGTGTGTATGTTTTTTTAACTTTCATGTATTGATCACAATTGTTTTATCTGGTTAAGTTGTTGCCTAGGGAAAAGAAGTAAAAACAACACAGGTTAATATTAATAGTTACATGTGAGCAGGAAATAGAGTGACTAGAATAAAAGGAGCCTTATTGTTTTATTGTTGTAAGAAGTGAAGGTATAACTACCTTGAGTTTCTACAAAGTTTCTACCTTGAGTTTCTACAAAGATGATGGCACCCATCCCGTAAGTATCTACAAAAAAGGTTGAGAAATGCATAATACAGACAAGTAATTTCACAGTTTGGTTAAGACCAGTCATTGGAGAGGTCTTTCTCTTCCCCTTTCTTCCTACTTTTTCCCCAAAGGTGCCTTTTTTGTTTTATATTTGGTTTGTTTTCTTTTGATATCGTACTGCTTCCTAATGCACTCTTTTATCCTGTAGGTAGAGTCTGGGTATGTCTGTGAAGGTGATCACAAGACCATGGCAAAAGCCATCAAAGATAGAGTGTCATTAATTAAGAGGAAACGAGAACAGCGGCAGTTGGTGCGGGAGGAGCAAGAAAAAAGAAAGCAGGAAGAGAGCAGTCTCAAACAGCAGGTAGAACAGCAATCAAGTACTTCCCAGGCAGGAGTCAAACAGATCCCGTCTGCCAGCACTGGCATGCCTACTGCTTCTACCACTTCAGCTTCAGTTTCTACGCAAGTAGAACCTGAAGAACCTGAGGCAGATCAACATCAACAACTACAGTACCAACAAACTAGTATATCTGTGTTGTGTAAGTATTTTGGGAAGTGCACAAGTATGCTAAGGATACTCCTAATTGACTTCTCATCTTCTTGTTCATCATTTTGCACTGGCCTCTTGGTTTGAAACATGAATTCACCATATAATAAGAAATTTGAGGGGCGCCTGGATGGCTCAGTCATTAAGCATCTGCCTTCAGCTCAGGTCATGATCCCAGGGTCCTGGGATCGAGCCCCGCATTGGGCTCCCTGCTCAGCGGGAAGCCTGCTTCTCCTTCTCCCACTCCCCCTGCTTG